TCTAAATCAAACCATTTTGACTTTTTAATAATTTTAAACACAACTATGTTAGTTATGATTTCATTCTCTGAGTTGCATAATGAAATTCCAGTCGTAGCATAGCATGAAATTCAGCTTTATTCCTCTATAGAGAGCGAGAGGGAGTTGATGACATTAGTAAAAGGAGATGGTGGTTCCAAAAATAATGACATAACTAGTTGTATGGTTATGTTCTGTGGATGTGGACATCCCATTCTGGGATGGTCCCTCCAGGGATTGGGAAGGGCACATTGCATTTGCAGAGAGTTAAAAGCCTATATCTGCATATACTTGCAATCATATAAATATTCATCTTTTGAATAATCATTTCTAATTTTCTCACACGGATAAGCTATTAAAAGTAGTGCCAGGAAGAACTTGCAAGTTGCAACCACTAAAATTGAGAAAATACCGATACAAGATATAAAATTTAAAAGTTTTAAATTAAAATTTTTAAACGACGAAATTCACCTCATTTCTCTTAGTGCTCGATCAAACGATTCAAAACTACATAAACAGCACGGATTTTGGAAGATTGAGATCTTGCCTGAAATCGTTAATAGAGTTTGAATAATACTACTCACCATACATCACCTTACAACAGCTTTCATCGTCTAATTGTAGCTTGTCTGGTTAAAGTTTCTCTATACCTACCCTTTAATTTTCCCATCTATACTATTGTAAATAAGTGTGAGTAGCGGGTGATGTTTGAGGAACGTTATTTATTGAGGGGTTCTTTTCTACAATTACTTTCCTTTTCCTGATTTTGGATAGTTTTGTTCTTGTTATGAATCCTGATTTTGGATAGTTTAAAACACCAACTTGAAGTACCCATTCGGCCCACTCTTTTTGGGTATTGTCAAGTTGTAGTTCAACGGTTTCCCATAAAATGTTGAGGTTTCTGGGCCAATAAGCATGTTTGGTACGTAGTGTGTGGGTGCTACTTATAGAACTGGGCTGTCAAAATCAGCTAAACTACTAGGGAAGCTCATTTATATTACATAATAAAAGGTAGTTCTAGACCAATTTACTAAAAAAAAAAAAAAAAAACAGCTCTAGACCAAAAAATAAATCAAATATGGATTAAATTATTTATTTGCAATTATTAATTTGAATTTGTTTGTCTGATGCTTAAAATAAATAAGAAATTAAAAAAGGAATCTAAGTCCTAGCGAACTGAATAAAATATCTGTTTTGGTTGGCTATAAGCCCAACATGTCAGACTCAATAATATAGTCCACTTTTAAAACCTTCTAGAAGGGCACCCCATACCCCTACAGTGGTAGTATGTCTTGTACAATGACAAGATTGGACTAATGGGGCACAACTCTCCAGAACAGTGACCATTGTGCCACTGATCCCACTGTTATTTACCTAAATGCCACGCACCTGAACTTTTTTCCCAAACTGCCACGCGAGCTAGTTCGCTGGGAGTAGTAGCGAACTAGGCATGATGATGTGTCAGAAAGCTGGTGGTTCTCAAGTTCGCTTGTGTCAGTAGCGAACTTGGGTGAAATAAAGCCTGCAACGTATTTTGAGTTCGCTGCCCACGCAAGCGACCTAAATGGCACGTGTCTGACCCCAGCCAAGTTCGCTGGGGGCCAAGGCGACCTAGGTGCCACGTGGCAGTTCCCTAGAAGTCTGCTGCCTTGGTCAGCGAACTACTTGCCGACAGTTACAGGTCGCTGGGCCATAAAGCGAACTCAGTGTTATATTTAGACCCCCTCCCTCGATCAGTCATTCATTCTCGTTCGTTTTCAAATTAAATTTTTCCATTTCTGTGTGTGAATTCTATTTTCAGTACATAACGAGTGAGAATAGCAATGATGTAATATGCCTTCTATATTACAATGGGAGAAGATATTTTGGACCGAACGATCAAGTGTTTGAAGGAGATACGAAGATCTTCCGCATGAGTCCGCGTTGCAAATATAATGAGCTCAAGAAAATAATATACAAGAAGTTGAGATTACAACGAGGTCAATCCTTGTCTCGACTGATTGTTAGATGTGCTTCTGGTAACCCCGTGCAATGGGTTGCTGTGGAGGTGGTTGAGGATGAAGATGTGTCACTAGTAGTTGATGCATTTCGACAGCATGGAGAGTACTCATACATCGAGTTATATGCAGAACTAAACAACGGTGGAGAGGCAAGCACTCAATGTTTCATCCCTACCAGTCACTCCATAGACATTAACAAAGAGCCGGAAGTAGATGCGGAAGATATAAATGTGTCACCCCCACCATCATCTCCCCCAATAACACAACCTTTAGATGTGATTCATGCCAATAAAGTAGATGATCCATCGGGGCGTACTGATAGTTCCGAGGAGGAGGTTGATGAAGGTCTAGTCCCTGACAGTGACTCGTCGGATACAGACGTTGATGGTGATTTCAAGTTGGAAACGTCCCCTGCTTTGGTTGAACCGATTCCAACACCGGGTATTATTGGTGCGCATGACCCACCACCTGCTGCAGGTTAGGTAGTTTACCATTTGAGTTTTAAGATAATTTACTGTTTCAGTTTAATTATATTTTTATGTACTTAACGACATTCGAAATGAGTGTTAAAAAGCAGTGGATAATGTTCCATTTTGGTCAGAAATACCACATTACACGAACATTAACTGGGCACACCCCGATCAAGAGTGTGATGACATGCAAGGGGCACAAGTACCAAATTGGCAAATGGGTCAAGAGCTTTATAAGGACCAGCAATTTGAAAGCAAGCAGGATGTACAAATGGCCATCAAACAGTATTGAATGGCAAAAAATCGCACAACTGTCGTACTAAAAAGTGATACGCAAAGGCTGATAATGATTTGTCAAAATCACAATGATGGTTGTCCGTGGAGGATGCGAGCATATCTGAAAAAAGGCGGTCATGAATGGATAATAGGCGTGTGGAACAACATCCATACGTGTGTATCTCAAACACTTTCACAGGATCACAAACAACTTAACTCTAGTTTCATTTGTGAATTGATCATCGGTAAGTCAACCATCTGGTAAATGTTTAAATTAATATCGTGAGTGTAACGCTAATACGTTGTTGTTTGTCAAACCGCAGAAACGATACGTGAAGAGCCTAGTGTTAAAATTGGGTTAATACAGGAGAGGATTGCATCAAGTCTAGGATTTCATATATCATACAGAAAAGCCTGGAAATCAAAGCAGAAGGCAATTGTGAGGGTATTTGGGGATTGGGATGAGTCGTACGCGTTTCTGCCAAGATGGTTGGATTATATGTTATTGTTTTCTCCTGGGTCTGCCTATAAACTGGATGTGAATGAACATAGGATTGATGGTCGGCTCGATGGTTCGCACAAGGTGTTTAAAAGGGTTTTTTGGACATTCAAACAGTGTTGTGATGCCTTTAATTATTGCAAGCCTATGCTCCAAATCGATGGGACACATTTGTATGGAAAATACCGCAGAACGCTACTGATCGCTACAGCTGTTGACGGTAACAATTATGTCCTGCCTGTAGCGTTTGCTGTTGTTAGTTGTGAGAATATTGACAATTGGTCCTGGTTTTTGGCCATGTTACGGATCCATGTGACTCAGAAAGATGGAATATGCCTTATTTCTGATCGACATGCAGGTATATTGGCAGCCGTCAATAATGTTGCGTTAGGGTGGCAACCACACAAAGCGTACCATGTTTTTTGCGTGAGACATCTGGCAAGCAATTTCAATCATAAGTTCAAAAACATCATGTTGAAGAACCAGTTAAAGAAGTTAGGTATGGATGTCACTAGAATTTTTTTAATTTGTTACAATGATCGTACGACGCTGATGTTATTAGTTATTAACAATTATGTGTTGTCATGTACAGGCTACACTACATCGCGATTGGATTTTGACGCTGGTTTGGAAAAATTTAAAGAATCAAGCCCACAGATAGCAGCATGGATTGATCGAATTCCGAAGGAAAAATGGAGTATATCATACGATGCTGAAGGAAGGCGATTTGGCCATATGACTACAAACTTGTCGGAGTGTGTTAACAAGGTGCTTAAAGGTGCCAGAAACTTACCAATCACGTCTTTGGTGCGCATCACGTACGTTAGGCTTAACAAATATTTTTTGGCCCACGGGCAGGAGGCTCGGGAAGAGATGGACAAAGGTAATCGTTTCGCCAAAATGTTCTGGGTTGAATACGTTAAAAACCAACAAAATACTGCAACACACTTTGTTATGTCGTATGACAGACAAAAAACACGATTTGAAGGTCAAGAGTCTTACAATCAAAGAACTCATAGAGGCGGAAAGTTTACTGCTTTTAGGTACCCATCTAGTCATGTGATTGCTGTGTGCAAATCAGTAAATCATGATTCCTTACAATACATTGATCCTGCATATAGTGCATCATATCAATGCCAGGTATATTCCGGGCAATGGTATCCAATTGGTAATGAAGACTTCATCCCACCCAGCCAAGGCCCAACAATTCTCCCGGATGTGTCACTTAGACGTAAAAATGGCAGGTCGCGAAGTACCCGAATCCGTAATGAAATGGATCAGCGCGAGGGTGTGAGCCAGCAGTTAAGATGTGGTTATTGTAGGGTTGTTGGCCATGACAGACGTCGTTGTCCATCTCGCTTGCAAGGCAATTAAATGTTGCGTGAAACAAACTTGTCGAAACGTTGGTTACCCTCTCCTGTCTGTGTGTTGTCACACGTTTTTTTGTTTCGTTTATAATTATACCTGCTTTTATTTGATTGTGGGTTGTCGTTAGTCGTGAACTTTAGTGAATGTAATATGTTAATTAATATGATCATCGTGTGCTTGCTGGTTTCATAATTTTCTTTTCGGGTAGTTAACTAGGGATAGCACATAACACCACATGTTTCTAACAATAACATAATAGTCAGCATACAGTAATAAATGGAAATCTAAGGATGGAGTCCAAAACATATCATTTACATACATATGAATGCTCTGATAAAATAAAAAGTCCTATGATAAAACAACAAATCACTACTGTCGCGGCCGCCCATGATACTTGGAACAACGTGCCTGGTTATTCTCATATGGTGACAAGAAACAGCGCTCCCTGGCCTGTCTATCTGGATTACGCCTGACCACGTCTTCACCGTCTCCTCCGGGTGCAACGGCTGCTTCCGCTCCTGCGTCTGCATCAATATCTTCCAAAGTACCCGCAATGTCCTCTTGCGCAAGCAAACCTGTAGGACCAGATGAGGGTGACTGAAAGAAGTCAGCCGAAAATGCCTCCGGCGTGGCCATGACGGCAGGGGAATCAAATGTGGGTATGTAATCCTCTGTGAACTCTTCCAGACCAGGCTGAGGCTGCGAACTGGACTGTCCTGGAAACTGGCTGTGCTCGTGCGCAGAAGGCTCAGCATGAGAATAAGATGGACCGCTGGTCTGACCTGGGAACTGCTGACCTGGGAATGGCTGAGTGAAGTGTGGCTGATATCCAGGGTACGACTGCGTCGGTGCTGAAAACCATGGGTACTCGAAGTGAGTCGATGACCCGCTAGGCCGAGACGGACCGCCTGGGGGAGGCCACCAGTAAGGCTGCGACAGCCCACCTGGGGGGTAAGCTGGGGCATAAAACTGACCGGCTGGACGGGGCGGAAGAGACTGCACAAGCACAGGCCTATCAGCCATAGCGGGAGCCTGATGATGCAGTGGCAATCCCTCGTGGCGTGCACGCTGGCTAACACGCGGATGACGAGGCGGTTCCACTGTCTGCACCACTGCCGGCGGAGGTGCAGCCTCTCCAGGCTCTGTCAGTCTGCCAAACTCATCGAATGCGGGCATCATCTGAAGGGTCTCATCGTATATCTGGCGATATGTGAATGCTCCTTGTGCCTCGTCTGATGCCATATGCAGAACAGTCTCCATGCGATCACTCTGTGTCATAACATTAATCATAAAAATTATCTTACCCTAAAACCTATAAATAAATAACGCATATAAAACTATTTATTACATACATTAATTAAACAATATGTTATTTAACTACTAAAATTAAAATGTAATTACTAAACTACTAATATTAAACTAATTAAAATAATAAAACAATTAAATTAAATAGATTAATTAAACTATAAAATATTTAACTACTTAAATTAACATGCAATTACTAAACTATTAATATTAGAATAATTCAAATAATAATATAAATAATATGTCATCTAACCTAATGTGTCATAACATTAATCATAAAAATTATCTTCTTCTAAAACCTATAAATGAATAACGCATATAAAACAATTTATTACATACATTAATTAAACAATATGTTATTTAACTACTAACATTAAAATGTAATTACTAAACTACTAATATTAAACTAATTAAAATAATAAAACAATTAAAATGTCATCTAACCTAATATTTTATGTTACATATAATATATTAAACAACAACTAACTAACAATAAAAAAAGAATAAAAATTAATCAAATTATACATCACTAACCTCAAATGAAGACAAAAAGACCAAATGTGAGAGCAAGAAAATTAAGAGAGAGAGAGAGAGAGAAAATGGGGAGGGGGACGCGTATGGGAAGGGAAGGAGGGGGTTTATATAGGGTGAAAAAGTATACGTTGGGCACAGGTCGCCTGCATGGGCAGCGACCTCGCTTTCATGCACGCCACGTGACCTGGCTGGTCAGGCATTAATTGCAACAGAGGTCGCCTGCGTCAGTCGCAACCTCTCTTGCATGCACACCACGTGGCCTGGCTGGTCAGGCATTAATTGCAACAGAGGTCGCCTGCGTCAGTCGCGAACTCTGACACCACCAGGAAGCTGACAGCTCAGCATTACGAGGTCGCTACTACTCCCAGCGAACTAGCCCGCGTGGCAGTTTGGGAAAAAAGTTCAGGTGCGTGGCATTTAGATAAATAACAGTGGGAACAGTGGCACAATGGTCACTGTTCCCAACTCTCCTCTCCATATACCCTATCCCCCTATTAAAGTAGGGGGCTTCTTTTCTCATTATTCATTTTATGAGTTGTTATTCATATCGTCATGGACATCCCCCCCACCCCCCCAAAATTTTATATGCAGCACCTGGGAAGCTCTTGTAGAGTCATGATTTCTACCTTGGTTATTAAGAGCACCTATATATCAACATACTATACTCTCCATGTGATACATTTATTAACGCTAGATTGAGGATGATCATATCGGGAGAATTTTCAATTGTAATTTGAGAACTCAAAGATAAATGAATCTAAAAGTTCAAATTTATTTTTCGTAACGTGATCTATTGCACAATATTGTAAATGTGGATAATTCATTCACTTTAGAGTCTCTCCATTTCCCAAACCCAATGGCAAACTGTTGGGATATTTAAATGTGATGAGTCTCATATTGGTTGGTATTAGGCTAAGTAAAATGGATATAAGTGAATGGGCCTATAAACTCGATGCCTTAAGGTTTTGGGTTAAGATGTGGTGTCAGATTCACTTAGTGTTTTCATCCACTTAGTCCATTAGTGGTGATCCCTGCCACAGGCTTTTCTTGGACCGGCTTGACTCTGGTATCAGAGTCAGGGAGAGCATACCAATGTTATTGCTTTGAATTATTTACACTCCTATTTTTTTAATCATTTAACTTCTTGTGATTTTCTTCATCTACCTCCTCCTTAAAACTGTTAGAAAATTGACTAAATATTCTTACTTTACCTTTCTTAGATGAAGAAAATAAAGTGATAAAAAAAGAAAAAAAAGACCAAATATTGTGAAAACTTAGAATATTTAATAAAAGACTAAAAGAAAAAACAGATCAAATGTGTCTAAATAAAAAAAAGGACAAAATAATAAGACCAAATATGTTAAAAATTACAGCAGTGACTGAAAAAATTAAAAATTAAAATTAAAATAGTCTCAATCAACAAAATATATACTAAATACAAAAAAATAAAAGAAAAAATTAAGATAAAAAATGAATTAAAAAATAGAACAAAAAGAAATCACAGCTATACATTTTCAATATATTTGCTTTTTTACCCGTGATTTATTTTATTCTTTTTCTTTAGATATGCTTAGTCTTTTTATATCTCTATTTTATTATTTGTCTATTTTTTTAAAAAAATTTACAACAATCTTTTGTAGATGGGGTTGGGACAAGGTTAAAAAAAAAAATCAGAATAAAATAGACCAAAAAGTAAAAAACAATAAAAATAGAAAAAAGATTAAACATATCTAAATAAAATAAAATAAAATAAAATAGATCAAGACAAAAAAAAGAAAAGAAAAAAGAAAACCAAATATATTGAAAACTCATAATTATGATTTCTTTTTGTTTCATTTCTTTTTTATTTTATTTTATTTTTTATCTTTATTTTTATCTTTTATTTTTCATTTTCAGAATTTATTTCATTTGGATTATTTTTTTTATTTTTTTATTTTAGTTTTTCTGTCATTATTGTGATTTTTAATGTAGTTGGCCTTATTTTTTTCTATTTTTTTATTTAGACACATTTGACTTTTTTCTATTTTTTCTTGTAATCCTTTTTTTTTTTGGTGAACAAAAGGGGCTAGCCCTAGCAACAAAATAAAAAAAGAAAAACAATCACAAACAAATCCAACAGAGGTTCTCTGCAGAAGAAGCATCAGCTAAAATACGAAAATTAAGATTAGGAGGGGATCAAAAAAGTGAATGAAGGAATCTGAAACCTATTATCCAAAGACAAATTAGCCAATGAGTCTGCACACTTATTAGCTTCCCTATAAATGTGCTGGAAATGAACCCTCCAATCCTTAGCCAGCCATACTCGTATTCGAGTCACTAAACGAGACTCACGAGATGCAAGTGTTTTAAGTTTTTATAACATTTGATCTTATTTTTTTTTATCACTTTTTTTTTAAAGAGGGTAAAAAAGGTATGGTTAGTTAAGTTCCTAACCATGTTAAGCAGGATTTAGATGGAAAAAATTACAAGGATTAAATGATTAAAAAATTATATATAAAAATATAAGTAATTCAAAACAATACTATGAGACAGTTTTTAAACTTTTCCCCAAGTTTATATTTATGATGAACCAGAAGTCCGCATCTTAATTAATTTCGCATCGAGTATGTTTCAAAGAGACAAACTCATGAGAAGAAGTGACAAGTGGTTTCAAGAGAATTTGATAATTTAATTTGGGAAAGATAAATATCGGGTATGCATGATAATATTCGTATCGGATGTCACATTCCTAAAAATATTTTTTTATTTATTTTTAATTTAGAGAATAAAAATGATAAAAATATAATTAATTAAATTAATTTATTTTTCTATTGCAGAAAATGAATTTCAGAATAAAATTTGAGATTTGAGATTTGTTTTTTGATTTTTTAGTTTTCGTATAAAAAATTAAAAAAATTATTTCTTTGTAAAAAAATACTTAAGCACATAGTAATCATCGTACACGCTCTTAATTAATTATACGGACGATATAGAACATGGCCAAATTTAGGGTCATTACTCGTATATTAATTTTTTTTGTCCAAAATATATCATTCTTATACTTATTATCGCTAATATACATATATAGGGGAAGATATACCTACCACTAAAAATGTTTACCATCCTTACAACCAATTTAATCATCGTTGATTTTCGTAAATCTAACCGTTATACTTTATTGAAAATTATTGGGTTGTGCTTATTAATTAATTATTAATAAATTATAACAGTTATAGTGACGAAAATCAACAGTAATAAGATTGGTTGTAAATGTGGTAAATATTTTTTATGGTAAGCATATTTTGTCTTTTATATATATATATATATAGGCTTTTTCACCTTTTTACCCCTCATTATTAATTCTCATTTTAGAAGAGAGATAGACACAGAAAAACAGAAATAATGAGAGAGAGTTGGTGGATTTTTTAATTTAAAATTCAAATTCTCTGTATCTGTATGACTGTATCTCTCTTAAAATGACATAACTTTCTGTCATTTAAAATGATAAACACTTTTCATATATATATATATATATATATATATATATATACACGCCAAAAAAAGAATTGGGAAGAGAGGCTTCGGTGCTCGCTCCCCTTTAGTTCCCCCTTGGACCACTAATCCGGAGTAAATTAAGAATCATACCATAACATGATTAGAAATCAATTATTTTCGAGCAAATAATCAATTTTTTATTTTTTAAATCTAATTTTCTTATCCCCAAAATAAACCAATTCAAGGTTTGGATATATCAAGAATAGGAAGTTAAAAAATTTGTATTGCCAATACAATAATGTATTGAGCTATTATTGTAAAAATAGTAATTTTTTAATAATAATAATAATAATAATGACAAAAGTTATATTGACTTTCATAAATCGACAGTGCGGCTATAGCTTCAAGAAGACTTTTGACTCGGCTGTATCTTAATGGATTGAATATTTTGCCCACATAATCGTTGATTTACGGGGAGTCAAGGTAGTTAATTTATCTATATTGAGTCCAAAACGATATTATTTTGAGATGAAAATCAAAATATTTTTGTAATTATAATTTATTTCAGGGTTATAATAGTCTTTTTCATTATAATTTTTTTATTTTTTAACCCAAAACGATATCATTTTAGATGCAAATATAAATAGTTTATGTACGTTATGTAAACACGTTAAAGCCTATAATCATATGATCAACAAGGCAGAATTATCCCAGCAATGCATGCAACTTTAAGGAAATTATGCATATCGCTATCACTTAATTTCTGTTAAAATATCCTCTAATTTACGGCAACAAACATAAATTATGAAGTCTCAAATTAATTTACGTGAACTTGCACATAGAACATGAGCATAAAGCAAAATTCTAATTAATCCTAAAGCTTTTGATTTTGCTAAGTTCAATTAAAATAGGGGACAATGGAAGAAAGGGCTTCACAGTTTCGATTCTGCAGCTTTACTATTCCTGCCACAGAAGTTCACCATATAGAAGAAACAAGGATCTTAATTACCCAAGATACACATGCATACAATAGGCATACCTCAACTCTCTTATCACTTTCTTACATATATAGAACACCCACATAAAGCCACCATATTTTCATTAATTAACAACCGTAATTAAAATCACTACCACTAAAAATTCTTGAGGAACAACCAGTGAGTAAGTTTTCTCTCAATGTTCTTCTCCTTAATGGTGTCCAAGTTAGGCTTCCACCCTTTCCCTGATAATTGCCTACTCAAATATTCTGGCCTCCCTTCTAAAAATTCTGGTAAAAATTCAGAAAACTCATTCCCCTCTTCCTTTTTCTGAGCCACCCTAGGTTCAGCCTCTACAATTGCAGTGGTCTGGCATAGACGGGTAAGCCAGGGAAGAAACCTTGAAGAACACACAAGATACTTGGAATGCAGAGCAGAGTTAACGATCAAGAGAATGCGGCGAGTTTCTTCGCTGCTCAAACCAACAGGCTTCCCTCGCTTTATTGGAAGCATCATATATATGTTGTTCATCTCTAGCTTCTTATCAGCAGGCAATGGATTTGGCCTTTTTTGATTCACAGCTGAATGGAACTCAACCACTACCTGTTGTGGGTGCTCCAACATGAGCTCTGCCACTGTTAGCGGCTTGTCAAATTCATGAACCGACCCATCACAGAAAACAATTTTGCCCGTGGCATCTGAGGGTCGAAGTGAGATTTGGTTTCCCATCTTGGGTTTAGTTCAAAATCAAAGATTTGACCAGGAGGGGGAAAACTAGTTGTGAAGTTCTAATGAATTGAGTTAAAATAAAAAGAAGCTTGGGTTTAGGTTGCGTTATATTGGGGTAGGGGAATATGTACATAACAGGAATTGATGTTTGTTAAACCGCTCCATCTTGTGACGCACATGATGTTGGACTTAATTGGTAGTTTTGATTTGGCTGGGTCGTTAGTTTTGTTGTCTGTTACAATATTACTTCGGACTTTGACTTGGGAAATAGGATGTCTCCCACATTTATTTACTTCCTTAAAAGAATGAAATCTTCCCAGTTAATTTGATTTGTCGTAATCTTAAATCTTTATTTCTAGCTAGGAATGGCGATTGAGATAAAAAGTTAAAACTCGTGTTAGTCCCATTTAGATTGTTATTGCGGAGTTCATTTACCTAACAGGAAAACGAATTGAAGGAACCGTTCAACTAGAACTCATTGACTAATTTGATTAGATTATTATATATGGGTGATATACTGGTATGTGCTGCAGCATTCACTTTGTTGAGCACGCCGATTTCTCTCTCCTTCTGTTTTCCATTTCCTTCTATTGCTAGTGACGTCCCACTTTATTAAAGTTAAGTTTTTGTTGCTTGCGGGTAGTATAATTTTTACGTTGTAACCTCTTTTTTCTGTCGACTAGTAGTAGTAGTAGACAGAAAAATTAACTACATGCATTCACAGCATTGGTTACCCTACATTGTACGCTATCATTGATCTGAGGCGCCATCAACGACGAGAATGATGAGGAATCACTTTTTTCATGAACATGACCGCGTGGAAGGTAGCGCGAGTTATTTGGCATAATTCAAGGGGAATTTTTCTTGAAAGTTACATGGTAAATCGTGATAACGGACAATAATTAGACCAAGAAAGGAGGAGATTATTACAATCAATTCAATCCAAAAATATAATCGATTGAGTGAAGGTCTTTTTAATAATTTATATTATTCTTTAATAGGAATAGATTAATATTTAAATTTAAGTCAACAAGAAAGTATAATGATTTTCAATATAAATTTAGGGTTTACATTTCTCAGCTGTTGGAGAAAAGAAAAGTTTCTGCATATACATGTTTTATGAGACCTATTGTTATTTTATTTTTTTTTAAAAAACGATATATTGCACACTTTTTCTATAGGTCAGCAAGAAATTTTTTTCATTTTAAAACAGCATAAGAAATATAAAATCCAAAATTTACAAAAAAGAAAAAGAAAAAGAATGACATAACTGTTGTTTGTCGATTGATTTATAATTATCTATGAACTAATATTAACGAGTCTGTTTATTACATATTTACTTCCCATTTGTTTGTCCCTCTGTTTTTTTAGGAGGCGTTTGGTAGATGAGAAATTTTTTTTATCCAAAACTATGATGAAAACACTCCGTTTATGATAATATTTGAAAATTACAAATTTAGAAAAATTCAGTTTCTAAGAAATCCTAAAAAACACCGACTACCAAACGCCCCCTGTAAAGTTTTCTTTTATGTTATCAATACTAATTTCTCAAAGTTGTTAAAATTTAAAGGGAGATAGTCATCTGGCTGAGACTTAATTTGTACTACTTGAACACATTGTTTGAATTAAGAGCCTGTTTGTTTGGGCTTCTCAAAAAAGTAACTTTTATTTCTTCCTTATTTTAAAAGTATTTTTTATAAAAGTTAAAGCTATTTATATTTTTATAAAAATATTTAGTTTTTAAAAAAAATATTTGGCTTTTGACTTTTGTTTTTCTTAGAAGTTACAAATTTTAGCTTCTGAAAAAAATAGTTTTGTGACTTTTTCTTTTTTTAAAAGCAGACATTCAAACGAACTAAAAACGAGAAGTGCTTTTTTTCTTAAGAAAAAGCAGCTTTTGAAAAAAAAAAGTTCATCCAAACGAGCCCTAAATAACGTAACAAGAATGATTTTACCCAAAAAAAATTTTAAAAAAAATCTTTACGAAAAGTATTGAGTAATAATTCCATGACTGATTAGTTTAACTCGTCAGTAAAACTAAATTTTAACCAATTTCAAAATGTTCTGATTGATAATCCGACTTTTGAATTGAACCATGCATAACTAAATTAGTTGAGTTCATAGTTAGTTCGCTTAAACTGTCCAGTTCAGTTTTGATAACAATTATTCTTTCCATTGATCAATAGAGTTTAACAAATGAGATTTTTTTATTTTCTCTGAATAATACATTTAAATGCTTATATTTTATTAAAATATTATAAATTTAATCTGAGTCAATATGCTATATTTTAATTATTATTTTTATATTATTATATACTATGAGATGAGGTAAGAATTTGTCTCACACAATAGTCACTCAACATTTGACCTCCGTTTGAGATGCATGCTTCCCGAAAAAAAATAAAAAAATGCATGCTGTCATGCAGTATCCAAAAATACATCTGCAAAAACAAGCGTGGTTGATGCTGCTTTACGCATTGTCGATTTGTCAGCGATGCATCCACCCAAACCATAGCATTTAATTTATGTGTCACATGTTATATGTTAATTAGATTTTTGTATTGATATGAGATGAGGTAAGAATTTGCTCACACGATAGTGACTGAAATGAAACTTTGACCTCTGTGTGAGATGCTTCCAGCAACAATATATATGCTACCACGCAATATTCAAAAAAACGTTTCCAGAAACAAGCATGGTTGTAGTTGCTGCTTCGTATAGTGTCTCCTTTGGACTAGTAGTTTAGGACAAAACTGAAAGCCCGATGGCCCAACAACGGTTTCAGTTAGAATCTATTTTCTGTTTTTTTTTTTAAACCATATGCAGTTAGAATCAATCTCGTTAAAATCTGTTCAGTCATTGATCCAATCGAGATACTGAATTACTGGGTCACTAGTTCAACCGTATAACCTAGAGATTGTATGTAAATATATAACTTATATTAAAAATTTTATAAACATACTCAAATAGCTAAAAAAATAATATAAATTCTAAATAGTTCAATATAAAAAACAATAAATTATACATTATTGTCCAATAAAGGATCAAACAAACATATAATGTTTGTGATATTGGTATTTCAGGTTCAATAAATGACATTTTTAATTATAAATCAAATCAAAATTTCTTGCATACTGCATAACTAAGATAATATTAGTATTGTAGATACATAACTTATGTAAGTCAATAAGTAACAGATCACTCAAATATGTCAATTATGATTTTTTTTTTGGAAATATTTTTTTTAAAAAATTCGGGTCGGGTCATTGGTTAATCGGCTGAGTCACCGGTTTTCATCAAAACTGGTCGGGTCGCACTGGGTCTGGTACTTGGCTGATCCAATGTGAAAATCGGACCGGTCAAATGACTGGTTCATCAGGTTCCGGATCGACCCGGCCGGTCCGATTTTTACAACATTGGTTAGAATATTTAACAACATGTAGTTTCTTAGTTTCAGATCAATATATAAATAGAGATTAGATCTCACTATTGTAACCGATTCACTCATTCTTTACAAAATAAAAAAATCAAAGTGTTTGGCTCTCTCTTTTCTACTTCGTTCTTTCTCTTCTTCTTCTTGATCTAATAATTCATGGTATCAGAGCTTTCTGATCCATGGAGACCAATAGAGCTATGCAAAACTCTGTTCACACTTTTCCAATCCGATCTTATTCAAACTGGATGAGGATAATTTTTTGTCGTAGAAACAACAAGCATTAGCCACAATCAAAGGCTATGACTTAACCAGATTCATTATACAAGAAATTCAAGATACTGTACTTGTTGGGTGAATTCTACTGGAGAAAATGCAGAAGGTGCTGCTACTGGTGATGGAGTTCTGAGTTCAAATTCACAGAAGGCTCTTAATGCTCAACAAGACCAGTTGCTCCCGTTGTGGTTTCTTTCTTCCATGTTAGAGTCTCTATACACACACGTATGGTTGGCTGTTCGAGCTCATTCCAAGTTTGGAGCAAAATTGAAGAATTTTTCTCATGACAAACAAGAGCAAAAGTCAAACAACTCAAAATGCAGTTAAAGAACACCATAAAAGAAGGTGAAGTGTCGAAATACCTACTCCAAGTTAAGAAAATATTGGATTTTTTTGGCATCTTGAGGTTCACCAGTTAATTCAGAAGATCACATTGATGTTATATTGGACGGTCTCAATGAAGATTACAACTCTTTTGTAACATCAATCATTTCAAGGACTGATCCCTACATTGTAAGAGAAATTGAGGCACTCTTGATGGCTCAAGAACAAAGACTAGAGAAACACAAAAGGAATCTTGTTGGATTTCTTCAAGCCAATATGGCTCAACTGCAAATTAGAAGACAAAATAATCCCTCAAATTTCAACAGAGGAGGCTACAATCAAAATAAAGGAAGGAGTTATGGAAATAGAAGAGGAATTCGACCTTATAGAGGAGGTGGAGGCACGTATAATGCAAACAACAATATACCTCAGTGTCAAGTATGTGGCAAGTTTGGCCACCTAGCCTTAGATTGCCATCACAGGTTCAACCAGAATTTTCAAAGTCACCTCAAACAGAACATCAACTTCAATCTGCAGGCTAACATGGCAGTAACAAATAATGCTGGTGCATACCAACAAGATGATGAAAACTCTGACTACTTCTCTATCACAGACTCCTGCTGGTATCCTGATTCTAGAGTTACAAACCACTTTACACTAGATGCAAACAACCTGTTCGACAAAACCATATACAATGGTCAGGATGTTGATTAAGTATGTAATGGTTCTAATCTCAAAATTAAACATGTAGGTCACTCAATTCTATATTCTTCTTTTAGACCAGATTACTTTACTTTATCAAATCTCCTACACGTACCTGGTCTGTCCAAAAACTTACTAAGTGTCTCATAGTTTGTAAAAGAACACAATGTCTTCTTTGAATTTCATGTGAATGCCTGCTATTTTAAATCCTAAGCTACTAAGGAGATTCTTCTCCAAGGAAAGCTTAAAAATGGTTGTTAGTTGTTGCTGCTTTGCATAGT